CGAGACTTTTCACATCTAACACGTTCATGGACGACCTTATGAAAGTGCTTTGCGAGCATCTTTCACTGGATGTATCTGGTTAGAAAGCGTTGTATATAGCATTCGGTGTGACTTAAATACCTTATCGGAATATGTGTGCATACCGTAAAGGAAGCGCATTTTTCATGAAAATATTAATCATTTGAATGATTGTCCGAAAACAGCAGAAACCACAACTTCCATACGACGGGAACTTTAGCTTTGGAATATCACTATTTCATCACCGAAAATAGTCATTTATTTTGCGGGATGGCGCGCCAACCGACGACCGACCTTCCGAACCCTGGCCATGAAAACCATTACGCCTCATATGTAACGCGCATATCGAGCAAGTTACCAACTTTAATCAGACGCTACACGTATCGAACGCAGCCACGGACCGAAGCAAGCCGGAGGTTAATGGACGTGGCGAAGAGATTCATGCATTTATTCAGTCGAAATTGTGGTAACATATAGACTGATATTAACTAGACTTCTAGCACTTTAGCTGAGAAACAAGATCGTCATTCATCTGTCTGAAAGACTCCGTAGACTTCTGTCAAAGTAAGCCCATGTACACTCGTGTCGATGAAAGCCATATCTGTAATGATGGCTTTTCGTTTCTTTACGGGATTTGTTTACCGTTGTTTACAATATTGCACACAATATAACAATAGGTTTGTGACAGGCATAACTCTCATTCACATCCACGGCAGGGATGTTGAGTATGTGTCTTCGTCACTGAATTTTAGTCAATACCATCATACGTTTATATTCCCTAGATGTGTTAGCAACAATCGAATCGAAAACTAATTTGCTAGAAGGTATAACTCACCACCTGTATGTCTTCTGTCAGTATTCATAACAAATATCTGTAGCAATATGTGGCACTCGAGAGTTTTCTTCTAAAAATTCCTGTTATTTTGATCTTAGCAAATTTAACAAATGTTGTATGCGTATTGCAATCTTGGAGATGGCAATTGCGAGGATCCAATAACGTGCAGTAAGCCACAACATAGCAGTGATCGCTGAGGCGCGGGCTTTATTGCAGAATTTGTGTAAAAGTTGCTTTTAACATGCATTCTCGGTTTGGTACATATGTACTTGGATAGCTCGGCCAAAGAATAAACAAGTCTTGAAGTTTATAGTGCACATATATATAGAGCAGCGTTTTTGCACGTTGATATCATTGGAAAGCATTTGTGCCGGTTAAGTAATATTTCCATGTCGGCATGAAATACAGATAAAACAAAAACAAACAAAAATATAGGTTTCATATCTACACCAAATACTGAATGTCTGTATATACTCTGTTTATTGGCAGTTATACAATAAAATATCAAACGGTCTGGAATAGGGAACAATTGAAATCGATGGATGGAGCATTAAACGATGTCTTTGATATCGACCAGGATGTTCATAGTCTTTTGTTGACAATTGAGCAATTAAGAACAATCGAGAATGAACGAAACAAACGTTGTATATTTATACGATATAAGACTTTGTACGTGTTAGCCTGCGAGGTCGGGAGATAGATATTCACGTAGTGTTATACCTCCGGGCGTAGATCAGACAAACTGATATACTGAGTTGTATTGATTCTTCAAGTCTCAAAGTACACATTATATGTGAATTTCTCCTCGCTGTCTGACTTATGTAATCTGACCCTCATAGTCAGTGATTCAGGAGTCGACCTCCCTTTCTGGTCCCTCCCTCTGAATACGTGTTTATGTATTTGTTCTTGGTGGAATTTCGCACTCCATTCTTACGAAATGGTTTCTTGTGATGGTACACCACCCAGTCTAGATTTGAATAGTCGCTTCTTAGGTTTCAAAATTTACGCCCTCAGCATCAATGACGAGCAGTTCGTTATGGACCTCTTTATCTGCTTCCACGTTATTTCAAATCTTACGTGTCTTTTGTACAATCTTTTAACCAGGAACACCCACTTTTGCATGTTTTTTAATATTTCTACAAAATATAGCTTTTCCCTCCCACACCCTTACTGAACCCCTTGCGCCTTGCCGTTCTTTCTCTCATCATCTACCACCGCCTTGTCTTCCCCTCATACCCTGCCTATGAGCTACTCCGTTTAAAGTATTCCCTTTCCTAAACTAGGCCAGTTTCCCGCTAGTTTTGCCTTTTTACTGATCGTTGTTTCCTGAATTTGGCTTCAACTTCCTGGCGATCTCCAGCCTTGGATTCTACTTCGATCTCCCTAAGCCTCTTCGTTTTTCGTCGTAAGTGTTTTTGTCGTTAATCCCTTCCCTCTGCTGCTTGTGTCTCGTATTCCCAGTCTCCTCTGTTCTTTTCTGCAGAGACTTTCTCTCACATTTATACTTCTACGTTAACGCCAGGGGTGCAACGGTACATCAACATTTTACTGTGTCCTTGAGACAGATCGTTGTCGTCTGTTGAAAGCTTTATATTTCAAACGGTTTGCGAACGAGCAAAACGGGACCCATATTACATCTTGTTGTGAAGATGAAACCAAGATATTGCCCATAACTAAACCATATCTGACTCGTTTTGAAATAAAAATATTCAGAATTATATCGATTGAATGTATGAAAATATAACCGCGGCATTGTGCTGGTCCTGTAAGGTGCCTCATGAAACATGTATAACGGTGCCATTCAGATAGTGAGTTGATGTTAAGATTTCGGTCGAGAGATCCTCATGAAGGGTAAGGCACCTAATACAAAGAACATCAAGGACATCATTGCAAAAGAATTCGAAGAAGTACCAATACTGGCGAACGTAGTTTTCACTTAGCTTGAAACCTCTTTGAATTTAATTGTAAATGTTCCACGACCCAGCCTAAACGTTTTTCCACATTCATAATGAATGAAATTAAAGTGTATCAAATATTTTATTACCGTTTCCCTATTCAAATGTTCAGGTATTAAGTCTTCATTTTCGAATTTTTGAACAATGGGTTGAGCGCTACTTATCATCAACTTCTTTTCTTCTGTAAAGTGTTCGTGTCCGGAAGTCGGTAAAGACTACTTACAGTTTGCTTATTTCGATTTTGTCTATTTTTGATGTAAGTATAAAAGATTATGCAAAGCATAATTTGGATTATCATTTTAAAGGTAACCTGTAAAGTTTTCAAATGAGTGTTACTTAAATATATACAAAAACAAAGGAGTTCTGAAGAGGCAAATAACTGTGAAACGTGTGTTAAGCAAGGACGACAAAATATTTATAAAATAGAATCGAACAAAAGAGACAGAAGGAGGGGGGATTGGGAAAAAAGTACTGACAAACGTGCATGAAGCAACTTCCCAACAAAGTATAAAACATTAAGACCAAAACTGGAAGAGGAAGAACTTAAATCAATTTGTGGTATAACATTAAAAACATTATTACATAAATTTGGCGGGAATCGGTCCAGAAACTAGGTCAAAGGCTCGGGACATTGCATTAGCGTACACGTAAAACGATGTAACACTTTGGAATATAACTTATCCTTATTGCAGAGGTACTGCATGTTTGTGTATATAGAAATACGTATTGATTATGTTCATTTGCACGTGCTTGTAGTCAGAATGTTGACAGTCCCAGCATGAACGTTGAATAATCCAGGAGACACACTGAGCTCATTTTCAGACAAAAGAGAATGATAAAAGAGGAATCACGTAGAAAACATATCGTTTTACTGCCTTCACACTGCAAACCTGTTAAAGCTAACCGCTTTATTGTTTACAAACACATAAGAATTAATCAAACGGAATTCGGTGAGTTTTCCTCTTAATAGGAATGCAAGAAAAGCTCTTTTGACCTTGTGAAACAAATACTTTGAGTCCTTAAGCTCTGACGATGGAATCAACACAAATTATATCAGTAAGTGACTTCAATAGAAACAAACAAGCAGAGCTATCCGAACCATACAAAAATTGCAGATATCTTAATTAATTGCTTCTTCTCTAGAATGGTTGGTCATGTTTTCATTTATATCATACATTCGTCTCTTGAGTAACTATCCTTGTCGGCGTGTTTAAAAAAAGATAAAAAGAGGATGCCATAGCATTAGAATGTTTAATGTAGTTAGTTTCGTAATTAAGGAAATAATCTTAGTCACTACCACAATATTATGTTGCTGGAAACCTCGCGCAAGAGATATGATATAGCATCAAGTTTCCAGTGGGAGTCTTATCTGATGTATGTAGTCGTTGTGTTCTTTTCCCTTGGTAAACAATAGATAATGAAGAAAACTTAATTAATTTCTGTGTAATAAAGCAAAACTGTATGTAAACTTCTGAAATGCTGGCTGTCTAGAAATAGCAAAGAGGAGATTTATTACAGTACAGTTGGCAGGCAATTTGTATTCTGGAAGTAATTATACCGATACCAGGTATATACTGTAACGACACCGAAGGAATGGTTCCTGAAGCATGTGTCCGCTTCCTGTAGGAATTCGGCCTGTCATTGTGCTGATGCTATGTCATTTTAGCGCGCGCACGCCCTTGCAGACACGTACACGGTAGCTAGGCAATACCAGATGATTATAAACGATCCGACACGGGGATGATGTATTTGTATCAGGTGCACGCCCGAAGGTACAAGTGAAGGGTGTATGTGTGCACCTTTACCTATCATGAATGGTTGTGTACACTTGTTTGTCTCAAATTTGTGGAATCATTAGGATTTCTTCGATATAGCAATGCCATTGAAAAAAGAAAAAAGAACATCAATATCGGCGTAAAGAAGAAGTAAATATTGTCAATATCAGGGAAGTTGTTAACAATAGCATTGTTAGTTCTATATAAACGTCATCAATGTCAGTGTTTATGTCATCAATATAAGTCTAAACGTTAAATATACGTCAGCAATACAAATGTAAATGTTAGATAAACGTCATCGATGTTAGTGATAAGCGTCATCGGAATCGGTATGAATTATAGGAAATGCCCCTTTTATCCTTGTAGGTGTTATAACACAATACTTCACTAAACCTGAAATATGAAAGTCCATCTTACCTGTTTTGGTCCGAGATTCCGGATCTTGCACTCAAGAACTGCTAATTCTCCCATATGGACGGTCACATTCGTTGTTGTGGGTAAAAAGTTTGGGACAAGGACCCGGCGCTTTGACGAATACCCGGACACTGCAACAAACATAGAAAGAAAAATATCTAAAATGTTCTATCAAAAAATTGTCACTTAATAGTTTTCTATACAAATAATTAAACTTGCGACATAAAACATATGCAAAAAAAAACTCGGGTTATAATTTGACATTTATATTTGTTCGCAAGTTCGACAAATGTTAAAATTGCTCTAGAGATAAGCTTCCATTTACAATCGAACCTCGTTATCTCGAAGTCGGTGGAATTGTGGAAAACTTCGAGTTATCCGATTATTCGATTTAAATAATAAATATTACATAGTGTAACGTTTTGGTCGTGACCGACGAAATATACAGGATCTTAGAGTTATAATATTTAGAGATAACGAGGTTTGACTTATTTGACTAGGTATATGTGTGATTTGTAATCGCCGAAGGTTAGTTTGGGTTATGGCTGTGGCTCTTCTTTGCATGAATTGATAAGGAACTTCATATAGGAAAGAAATTTTGACACTTACAGAAAAAGTTTAAAAAGTTTACAGGTTTACAAATGTGAGAGTCAGTCATAGCATATCATAACGAATAAAAACGTGCAAGTGGAAATACCATATATGGATTGATTTTCTTTTTATTAATCCAATACTGAAAATAATAAACGCATTCAATTAGTTAGTTATTTTCTAATTCTATAATTTAACATCGATGGTTCAACAATTCAGGCCCAAGTGTCACTGGCGCGACGAAGATGGAAGAAACAGCTGTACGAAGTACCTTCTTTGACTATTTGACTTTTATTTATCCAATTCAAAGTAGTCCATGTTGTCACTTATAAAATTACACTACCAACATGATATTACCGAGCTATTCAGTTCCTCAAACCCGAACTAGTTTAAGACCAACAGTCATCGTCATTTCCTGTTTCTTGTGTTATCACGTACTAATTCACGAAACCACATCCCGCACCGACTCAAACTAACGTTTTACTCTCCCTTCTCACATTTCAGACCAACTTACCCTAACTTCCTCCAACCATCAAAACTCGCATATATATCATATGTTCTCCGCCGTCACACACCCACGATTACCTACTACTCCCACTTCCCGCTACATTCCCGGCACACACGGTAAGTTCACTTGCCCTTCTTCTCGCTCAATCTTCCCACACAATGATTTTACACACAAACACACGTCCTCGTTACAACCAACCCGACCACACACAAAACGTAATTGCCACGGGGAATCAGATTATCGGCGATGATTTATTCGACGAAGGCAGAAACATTTTCTGTCACTTCTGATTTTTGAGACGGTTCCCTCACAGCGTTAAGTGATTTCTGACATGGTGTAAAAGTCACAACGCGCAAGAACCCTAGTCAGAAAGTAAGCGTTCCTTATTTTTACATTTGTTAGCTTTCATTTTCTATTAAGTTTTCTCACAATTTAAAGATTAAGCACAAACTGTCGACATAAATTCTTGTCTGAACAACTGAGTTACCCTTTGGTTTCCTTGCAATCGTCACCTCTGGCGAAAGTACAGACAGGACTCTAACCTTGGACACCATCAGTTAAGTACTCTGTCACTTTCGATTTCTGTTTGAAACTAATTATATTCTTGTTGTTATACCGCTAAGAATCCCCTGTCGTGTTAGTAATTATTTTTATTTCCCTGTTAAACTGTTTTACGTACAAAATGTAGGTGACTTAAACATATCTAGGTTAGCATGCCCTGCATATCAAATACATGGAAAAATATGCTGGTTACGCACAGTATTTTTTCGGCGCAGCTAACTTCAGCGTAGTATCAATATTTCAATATGATTTTTTGATAATAATTGCGAAACAAGCTTTTAAGCTTATATTGGTCATTATTGTTGGCCTGGCTGGAAACGCGGGAAGGATCTCGCTTTGGAAGGAAAGAGGAGTACCCGAAGGAAACCCGGGTAGTCGGGCAAGTGACACCAGACCTTTCCACAGCCACTCCGGAACAAAGAGCCTATTGCGTAATATATATAATATAAGCAATATTTCGGCACGAAAATCGCTAAAATACAATAATCACGAAAATATTTACTATTGCAGTATTTCACATATTCTGCTTTAGAAACCATCATCGTAGTATTACAAACCACGGTGGAAACTTTACTCATTAATCATAATGTGTTTTACTCCCTTTGACATATATTAAATGTTTATGCCGATTATTTACCGTGCATAATTAAATCTAAATTACAACGCTACAATGTTAATGGACTATTGGCATCTTTGCCAAAATGTAAATATCGGTGATAAATTGGGTTTATCTGAAAACGTCTGGACAACGGTGTCGCTTTCTTGAACGTTTGTCTCTCGTAAACTACACTATATACAACACATGTACTCGGGAAACACATACCCAGTAAAAAAAAAACAATAAATACATGTTGCTCGTATTATCATTTTGTTTTCACAGATTTGCTTAAAAGCAAGAGGTATTGAAAAGCAACACAAACCAGGCGTGGTCACTTTACATTCTATATACATATTTTGATTTCCCAACCCTACTGGATCCATTGTTCGTGTGTGTCATGATGTTAAGTAATAAAACAACCCCAGTGGTGTAATAGATCTGTGCCCTAGATTTACTGTATCATATCAAACACCGATAGTGGAGATAAATGTCAGAGTTATGATCAAAAATCGAATTTTTCCGAAGAATCGTGTCAGTAAAAACGGATAAAATGTGCGAGGGATTTTAAGATGCATTAATTTTAATGGTTGGTGTAAGCTTCGCGATTCCATCTAAATCTCGGTATATAGTGAAGTGCCACAACGGCCTGGAATGAGGAACTATAACTGTTCTTATTGTTTTACTGGAGTTAACACCGGTATCATATATTGAAACACATTAAAATCCGTGGTGTAACATTGATAAAAGGGCAGATTACTTTTATATCGTTATTAAGCCTACATACTGCCAGTTTAGATTTGTCGATGTGGGTTTTTGTTATCAAGGCTTGCTGTTATAAAGGGGGCTTGTTGTCATGACGACTTCTGCCAATTTAGGTTTGTTGTTGTTATGGTTTATTGTTATCAAAGCTTGCTGCTATTAAAAAGGCTGCTGTCATAACGATTTTTGGTATTACAGTTAGTTAGTTAGTTAGTTAGTTAGTTAGTTAGTTAGTTAGTTAGTTAGTTAGTTAGTTAGTTAGTTAGTCAGTCAGTCAGTTAGTTAGTTAGTTAGTTAGTCAGTCAGTCAGTTACTCACTCACTCAATCACTCACTCACTCACTCAGTCACTTAGTTAGTTAGTTAGTTTAGTTAGTTAGTTAGTTAGTTAGTTAGTTAGTTAGTTAGTTAGTTAGTTAGTTAGTTAGTTAGTTAGTTAGTTAGTTAGTCAGTTAGTTAGCAGTCAGTCAGTCAGTTACTCACTCACTCAATCATTCAAACACTCAGTCACTTATTTAGTTAGTTAGTTAGTCAAATAGTCAGTAAGTCAGTTATCTAGTTAGTTAGGTAGTTAACATTGCAACAACTACGGTTGAAATATTCAATTGACATTAAATCATATATACTCAGTGATAACCTATACTTGCTTCCATTAAATAAGAGCTACAACTTTTCTACACAAAAAAAATCTTTGATTTTTGTGAACACCGCAAATTTAAAGCATATTGCGAAATCACGTAAAGAATCAAAGACAAGATCGATATTTTAGTCCTTGATATTGATTATAGATCATAACATGGTATTGGTTCTGATTTTATAGTATCTTTAATAAAGGCGTTATAGAATTATCGCCTTTTGAGTTAAGTGTCCTAATGATGTTAGACTATATATGTAATAAAGCGAGTTTATCACTATATATGTTGCTTAAAAGGGTAGTTTTGCAATTATAACACGTCTAATACCTCCACTGAGTATTTTACATATCTGAAGTATTCATGACACCACAACCTTTGACCCGAACTGTATTGTTTGAAGATCTATATTTAGATACTAATTAGAAAATGAAGAACTGTCATGCAAATAAAACAAGACAATCGTTACATGAAATAGATTGTACCTTCGAAACAAAACACACACAACACTTGGTTCTGTTTTATGTCTGTTGGTGTTTTATTTAAGAAATGTATCTCCGGTACGCAATGATATAGATTCACATCTGAGCAAATTCATCTACAGTATGATTTTTTCGTTGTAATTGTGAATTTACTATTTACAATATGACGTAAAGAAAAATACAAAATTAAGATGATTATACGGTTTCAACGATAAATACCTGAAACGTGTATGAAAATATAAATATGATTCAAATTAAAAGCTAAATATATGACGAACCTCTATGAATACAAAAAAAAATGTCATTACACGCCGTTGAAGATTTATGCGAGACTGGCATTTACAGAAAACGTTCCCTTTAATAGTCTAAATTAACCAGGCGAGAAGTCACTGTATATTTGTGAAAGCCGGGGTTCAGCATGACACTAAAAATTGTTTAATGCAACTCTAAAAATGTCTTGGAATTTTCAACCCAATTAACTTCGTGAGTGGCACTAACGTAATCAGTTGTGAAGAAAGCTAGGTTGGATAATATATACCCTCCAGCTTTTTAAGAATTAGAAGTTTAAATACATAACTAAATTTAGCGTCCTCAAGGTTGACATATCTATTATGCTTGTCAGGGATTTTCGACACAATCCCTTGAAATCTGGTAATTAGTGTTGTTTTGGTATTTAAAACCCCCATGAACAGACCCATTGATAAGAATGCGATAGTATACAGTGTTATATAGGCGGCTAAAGGTCGCGCTACGATACGATATACAGTGGTCAGTTTTCAATGCCATAGGTGGTCAGTTCATAAATCTTTACGTCCACTTGTTATTTAAAAAGAACCCCTTATGTCTAGACCTGGCTGACAATGAGGTTGTAGGTCTTAAAAAAAAGACAAGGGCCGTTTCCCTTTGTTAATGGATTTGTTAGCTTAACGTGCCGAATGTTGTTTTTATGTTACTTCTATCCCAATTAATAATATTAATCTTATAATTCTTATTCTTTTTTA